ATCAATGATCATAGCAGCACAATTCACAATAGCTAGACTGTGGAACCAACCCAGATGCCCTTCAATAGATGAATGGATAAAAAAATGTGGCACTTATACACAATGGAGTATTATGCAGCACTAAAAAATGACAAAATCATGGAATTTGCAGGGAAATGAATGGCATTAGAGCACATTATACTAAGTGAAACTAGCCAATCCTTAAAAAACAAATGCCAAATGTCATCTTTGATATAAGGAGAGCAACTAAGAACAGAGCAGGGAAGAAGAGCATGAGGGAAAGATTAACATTAAACAGAGACAAGTGGGGGGAGGGAAAGGGAGAGAGAAGGGAAATTGTATGGAAATGGAAGGAGACCCTCAATGTTACACAAAATTACATATAAGAGGTTGTGAGGGGAAGGGGGGAGGCACAAATTGGGATCCAGAGGCACCTGGTGAGACTTCCCAAATATAAAATACTTATACTCTGCCAGTCATCCTGGAGCACACATCTCTTGCCAGTCCAAAAGCCAGGAATAGGCAACTGTCAGCCAGTTCATGACTTATGAGCAATAAACCAGGCCACTGTTACCCTACACCCAGTTGTCCCTAACACATACTTTCCTGGACCTCGTCTTCACTGAAGCTTCCTTCTTGACATATCTGGGCAAAAAGAAGAGGCCTTCTTCTGTATCCACTTTGCCTCTCAGAGTCAACAATCTTTGCCTTCCAGTGGGAAAATCCTGAGAACAGAGAAAAAGCCAGCTGACATAGATTAGACTTCTTAAAAATTTAAAAATTCTGCAACTATTTTTGACACAATATTATCCTCTGATCTAAAAGCTTTCCCAGTAGACAAACATATCTGTACACTGCTCCAGTATGTGGATGTTCTACTACTGGCCAGAGAGACACAGAATTGTTTGAAAGGGTCACGACAACTCCTCACCCTCGTATGGGAAGCTGGCTACAAGATTTCAAGGAAAAAGACCCAAATCTGTCAAGAAAATGTCAAATATCTTGGTTTTCCCTTATTCCAAGGACAATTTCAACTTGGCCCAGTGAAAAAACAGGCTATCTAATCAATCTGGTCCTGTCAAACTGACACCAGATTTGAGAGTTCCTTGAGGCCACAGGTTTATGTAGAATCTGGATACCTAATTTATCTATCTTGGCAAAAACCCTTTATGAGGCCACAAAGTGGGGGAGGGGCAGGGAGAATAAGAATCTTTGTTATGGGAACAAGCCCAACAAAAGGCCTTTGAGGAAATCAAGCAGGCCTTCACCAATGTCCAAGCCTTTCTTTTTGTATGTACATGACCATACTGGCATTGTGGTGAGGGTTCTGACCTAAATGTTGGAGTAATGGCATCATCCAGTGGCATACCTCCCCAAGCAAATTGACTCTGTCACTCTAGGCTGGACACCCTGCCTACGAGCACTTGCAGCCTTGCAGCCGTGGGATTCTTGGCATCAGTGGCTGACAAATTGAGTATGGGACAAGAATTAACCATCTGAGTGCCACACTCAGTGCAGAAATTAATGGACTAGAAGGGGCAATATTGACTGACTGATGTCCAGATGGTCAGGTATCAGGGAATGCTGTGTGACCACACATCCACAAAAAAGTAGTGCAGACCATAAACCCCATGAACCTATTGCCTGTTAGGCCAAGTCAACCAGATCATGACTACATTGAAGTCATGAATGAGGTTTTTTCCAGCTGACTGGAATTAAAAGACCAGACTCTCAAAGATCCCAATACTGAGTACTTCACCAATGGTAGCAGTTTTGTGGAAGAGGGAAAATACCTTGCTGGCTACTCCATGGTGACCCTAAATTCCACCATCCAGGCAAAACCTTTACCAAAAGGAACCTCATCACAAAAAGTAGAACTCATTACATTGACCCAAGCCCTTCAATTGGCAGTCTGGATACATGTCAATATATACACATACTCTAAATATGCCTTCGTCACCCACCATGTACATATGGAGCTTTTTATAGAGAGAATGGTCTAATCAACTCAGAAGGGAAAGACAAAGTATGGCAAAGAAATCCTTGAACTCCTAGATGCTGTATGGGCTCCTAAAAAGGTGGCAGCCTGTTTTCAACAGGAAAACACTATGATTGATCAGGGAAATTGTAAAGCAGACCAAAAGACAAAGCTCACAGCCTCCAAGTGGGCAACCAGAACCAACAGTCCTGAATGCAGCCCTATTCCCTAGTCCACTGGCAGAATGGGACCCTAATTACTCACAACATGAGAACACCAGGTTTAAAACTGAAAATGTGAGTTATGCCCCAGGTAGATGGAGATTTGAAGATGGCTGAATAGCAATTCCTGAGGCCCTAGCCCCAGCCTTTGTCAAATAGTTCTCTGGGAGACCCACATTAGCTGGACAGCTCTGAAGGCCACATTGAGTTGACATTTCTACATTCCCCATCTCTCCAGCATAGCCCAAGCAGTGTGTGAACAATATGAAACATGTGCCTGGAATAACTCACATCAGGGACCCAAGGCATCCCCTGTGGTGCAAATCTTTGGAGGAGCCCCATTTGAAAACATAGTTGTGGACTTTACTGAGCTCCTACAGGTCCAAAGCTATAATTTTGCTAGCCTTTGTGTGTACTTTTTCAGGTTGAATACAGTCCTTCCTACTCACACAGAGAAGACACATTAAGTGGCCCAATTCTCCTAAAGGAAATCATACCTCAGATTGGAATTCCAGTCACAATGGGATCAGATAATGGTCTTGCTTTCTGACTGAGGTGGTGCAATT